CCCGGAGCGGCGCGAATCCCGCCCGGCCCGTGGACCTGGCGTTTTACAGTGTGTGTGCGGAGCAGCTCCGGGAGACACGTGGACCCGGAGAGGGCGTCTCAGGGCTGGCTGCGGAGACCTGAGCGTCCTGCGCGCGGCACCGGCCTCGGGGTGCCGCGGAGGGACCCGCCTGGGCTCCGGGCGGACGGCCTCCGCGTCCGCCACGTTTCACCTCACGCTGGCTTCTCCGAAGCGGCCTGCAGAGCCCTGGGGCAGAGCCCTGGGGCAGAGCCCTGGGGCAGAGCCCTGGGGCAGAGCCCTGGGGCAGAGCCCTGGGGCAGAGCCCTGGGGCAGGCGGATGGTCTGGGCACGCCGGGGGATCCCGCGTGCCCCTCCGCACGGAAGCGGTGGGAAGGCTCGGCGCCCCACTCCTCGGCGCCCGGCGCTGCCTGTCCGCCCGCTCGCTCCCTTCGGCCCCCGGCGGGACTCGGCTAGCACACACCCCTGGTTCTGCGGTCGATGCCCCTTCCCACTGCACCCCCGGCCTCTAGCCCACCTCCGAACACACCCCGGGCCCCGAGCGTGGCGGAGGGCTGGCTCCTCTCGGTTCTTCAGGACTCACGTCTCCCTCCTACCAGCCAGACTGATGCTGACTTTCTCAGTCAATCACTGTGTTTCCCACCTTCCTGCCTCCTCGGCTTTAAAAATGTGCTCCCTGCAGGGATAGGTCCTGTTCCCATCCTGTCTCCTTTCCAGCGCTCAGGGCTAAGTCTGCATGAAGTATCCACCGCCTCCGCCCAAATCTAGGCCTACTCTTCAGTTAATGGGTTCGCGTCCGAGGTCTCCGCCTTTGTAGGAATGCTACTGTAACAAAATAATCGGTGAGGGCTCAAAGGCTGGGGCCTCGTGTCAATCTCTTCCGATGAGTTCTGGAAACTCATCTTTTGATGTGTTTGCTTTTCATTAGTTCCTGCCAGTCACAGCTCCAGCTCAAAACATTCAATGAGTGATTCCTATTTGAATGAATGGACTTTTTGCTGAAGTTTCCCAAATATGCCTAATGATTTCTGACAGTGTCTCATGCTCTTACCACCAGTGTCTTCAATCATCCGTTCTACTACTCCGTCTTTCACTGTGACACACACATACACACACACACACACACACACACTTTTTCCTGTTAATTAAAAAATTGACTTGTACTTTGCACTTTTTCTATGTGCTTTGTACTTGTGTCTAATCTTGTTTATGACTCCTCTTTGTGACTTCATCTAGAAAATACTTCTTACTGAGTCATGAGTTGTCTCTTTTCTAATGCTAAATATATGTTATTCTCAAAGCAAGAATTCATGATTGACCTTGCTATACACCTTTTCAGTAGTATAAATGCCTGTTTCCCAAGGTTCATGTAGGAGCTTATCACATACATGATAACTTAGGACTTAAGTTTGCTTAAAATAATCACGGATGCATTTTTATCATTAAAATGAACAATTTGAAGCCATGTGTTCAATTCCAACACATCAGTCCATATTTACATGAATTAGTTTGGCTCTAGGTCACCATAATTTGCATGAAAACACGTTAATGAAGGGACAGTTCTCATTATTACTGAATCTATGAAACCAGTCCAGAGAAGGTAAATGATTTTATATATTTTGCTCACATATTACATTAAAACACAAATTTGAAATAAAATACTAATTTCATTACTTTTCCTGCATGAGAAAATACAGAAACAACCAAGACACTAACAACCTAGATGTAGAAAGCGCAGAAAATGTAATGCTATGAAGTACAGGAGTGCTTTTGGTAGGGGTGCTCTTGGTGGTGGGCAGGTCTCAATTCCTAATACATTGTGCATTTCAGTATGTATACATAACTGTTAAATCTAAGAACATGGGAAATAGAAGGGATGTGGTCATCAAGAGAGCTTTAATGTTGTATTTATACACAGTAATGGGAGACTCTCGGTGATGTATAAACATGCATCTGCTTCTCAGAGTTCCCACAGAAGCAAGCTTTGAAGTTCAGGGAGTGGCTAACGGTTCCTTTGATCTTCCTGGTCTTTTTACACTTCTGGGAGCTTTGCAGGATGGCAATTTTGCTTATCACTGTGGCCTATTGTTAAGTAAAAGAAAAAGCAACTTCCGAGTTCTGTTGATATAGGTGGGGGCTTGTAAGAGGGTTTCTCTGGCTAGCTGCCTGAACTGCTAGTTTCCCTGTGTCCAGAGGTAATTCTAGGGTGAATCCTTTTTGCCTACACCCTTAATCCACTTCAACTAACTGTACCATTGGTTGATTGCCACAAGCCTATCCTTTAACCTTAAAAACACTTTTAAATGACTGTATATAAAGAAATCTTTTATGTATATTTACAAATGATGCCCTCATAGATAATCACATTATGCCCTTTAATACATTTCTTTCCAAGTTCTTTATTAAATAAATATATAATAGGTAATTTTTAGGGACATGTCTGCTTATTCTGCATATGCATTTTGTGTTCTTTGATTTTTTTTGAAAGGAAGAACTAAAACAGGCTTTAATGGCAGTCCATACATTTGTATATATAAAAAAACACATTCCAAAGTTTAAATGCAGTTAAGAAATTGGTTAGCTTACATTAGTAACAGAGGGGAGGCTTTCTTTGTTACAGTTCCACACTTTTACAATGTGTTCCCATCAATCTCACCCCATCTCTAACTCTCCATGCTCTTCTTCCCCCATTTCCCAAAGCTATTTCAACAGGTCTCATTGTTCTATTTTTATAGTTGCAAATAATCTATTTGGACACTATTCAACCTTTTCATTTAATCCTTCTTGTTCGTTCAACTCCCTCCTGCTAGTACTACTCAGAGTCTAGTTCTCTTTCCCAGCCCCCATCTCTCTATTGATTAACAGTTTTCATTATGTTTTTATGTTGTTTTCATTTATACTTGCAATATTACAAAATTATTCACTTTCTTTTTCCTTTCCCTTTTCACCTTTTCTTCCAAGGTTAGATTCAAGTTCCAAGTTTATCCATATAAATAATTATGGATATGTGTATGTGTAGGCATGTATGTACATGTCTATGAATATGTATTTCTTTTATGTCTAGCTTCCACATGTAAGAGGAAACACGCACACACATATCTGCACATATGTGTGTGTGTCTATGTGCATGCATGTGTGTGTATGCACACACACACAGAGTTCAAGCCAAGGACTGGCAAAAAAATATTTGTAAGCATTTTCTGACTCATTTTTTACTCCCTTGACATCATTTTTTTTGGAAATGGGGAGGTGGTCCTGGGGCTGAAACTCAGGTCCTGGGTGCTGTCCCTGATTTTTTTTTTTAACTCAGTGCTAGCACTCTGCCATTGAACCACAGCTCTACTTCTTGCTTTTTAGTGGTTAACTGGAGATAAGAAGCTCATGAATTTTCCTGCCTGAACTGGTTTTGAACCGCAATCCTCAGATTTCAGACTCCTGAGTAGCATTACAGGCATGAGCCACTGACACCGAAATGGATTCTTTTTTAAGTATTAGAAATTAGGCAATGTATCAAAATGACCCTCACCCCCATAAATGCCTTGAAAACTAACTTGAAAAGCATCTTTAAGGATTCTGGACTTCATACTGAATGAAATGCAGCATTCCCAGAAGGCTGTATTTCAGCATCATCATAACATATATGCAAACAGCAGTACCTTTTAAAAGTTGTTGGAAGTCAAATATGATTAAAATATCTCACTTACTGGCCCACTTATCCATTCATTGGGTGAACAGCTGTTGCTTCTCTGCTAGGCATTACAGGTACCAAGGAAAACAGGGAAGACTTTGCCCTCATCTTCATAGACCTTACAATCAAGATGGGAGAACAGCTAAATCAGAGACTTAAGGCTGAGGTATGGCTTAGTAGTAGTGTGTTGGCCTAGCACACATGAGGTTCTGAGTTCAATCATTAGTACTGCAGAGACTTTCATAACATTTAGAAACGACTACACTAGGGAAAGTAGTGACTAGGAAGGATACACATAGTGGGACAAGAAAAGGTTTCTCAACAAAAGCAACATTTAGTCAGTGACTTAAGAGGGTAAGCAAGAGTTAGCATCATGAGCAAGTTCCATCAGAAGCATAGATAAACTTGCTTGTGTCTTTCCACAATGTCAGAATTGATTGAAAAACAGGAATTCACAAGCTACAACAATTGCATTGGCATAATTCTTGAACTATGACTGAGGTCATTTGGTAGTCTAGGCCATTGGCAACACAGTTTTGTTTTG